TTAAGATGCTGCCGAGTACTAGTTCTCTTTTTTGGTTGGGCCTAAGAAGTGTCAGAAAACCAATGTGAACACAATTTTCAACAGGACATGTGATAAAGCGGGAGAAAAATTGTAGTCTTACAGAGTGGTTTTCTGATTCTCCGATGGCACAAAACTGAACATCTTAGTTATTGTGTTTTATATCGCCTCAGACACACCTGTGCAGTAGTCATGCTGTCTGATCAGCATATTGATATGCCACATGTGTGGGGTGTATAGCTAAGTTAAGTATATAAAAAAAAGCATTTTATTTAGTAATTTAAAGAAATTGAGAAGGAGGCACTCTGAAAACTGTGTTCTTTGTGAAAATTGACCGACGCGTTTCGACAAAAGTCTTCGTCAGGGCAGTGTCGCAGCTGACACTGCTGATTTTAAGGCGTCATGGGAACACCATGTGACCATACAATATTTACAAAATACATAAATGAAAATAAACATAAAATACCAGAGCAACAAAATAAGTCAGAAGTTTGTGTATCAATGACAACATGCCCTCCTAACCCAAAACAGGTCAACACAAAAGATCACTGTTATGAATAGGTGAGATTGTGATCAAACATACAGGCAGAGGCGACATGGCTTGAGACAATTAGGATATGTAATGAAGGCGCATGAACAGTCTCAATATTGTGGGGAGGTTATAGGAATGGCATAAGGTCCATCTCCTCATTGAGTCCGGGATAACGGGTCGCTCTTAGAGCATGGATCCAGTAAGTCTCTCTTTGGAGTAGTTTTTTTAAACGGCCTCCTCCTCTCGGGTCCGGTGGGACAACTTCAATCACCATGGCTTTTAATGAGTTCGGTGTACTGTGACCCACAGATGTGTAATGTCGAGCCATGGGATACAAGTCATTGTTATACTACTTTGCTATACTTTTGTCGAAACGCGTCGGTCAATTTTCATAAAGAACACAGTTTTCAGAGTGCCTCCTTCTCAATTTCTTTCAATTGCTACAGTTTTCTCAAACCCATGAGTCGGATGAGCACCTGTAAGTGTTTTTACTATTGTTTGATCCAGTGCAGCACTCCTGCAATCCCTTCACTCAACTGCTTGTTCAGTGCTTTTCTCCACAATGGCTGTGTTGCTGTAATTGTGAATATATCTCAAATGCACAATTCACGCAAAACATAAGTAAAAATTAGATTCTGAAAGAAAAATCCTTGTCTAGATCCCAGACCAATTTTATTCGAGATCAGACCAACTGATCAGTGGCTCAGTTGGTAGAGCATTGGCCTTTGAGCCTGAAGGTCTATGTGTCCTTGGGCAAGACACTTTACCCCACTAAGGAGCCTACAAGGAGCACGGAAGTAATTGTACGCTGAATCCATGCCTTCATGTGTAAATTCATCGAACTGAAATTTCCCCAGTGTGACGAATAAAGGATTATCTTCTTATGTTCTTCTATTTTAACTCCAAAACAACTTCCTCAGCTCTACTGGGTCCATTTTAAGAGAGAACCATGGCAATGTGTACTGAGCAACACACTGTCCACACTGGACTTAGCCTCGGCATTCACTAAATCTCAATGGGGCCATTCAACAAAGGAAGTTCAGAGCATGAGCAAGGGCTGGAAAATGTACTGGAACACAGTTAAGCAACTCTGTCAAAATATGGTATTGAAATAGTTGGTAAATTAAAGAAAGAATTAGAATGATTTATAAACTTGTGTGAAGTGAAAATATGTACAATCACATCAGTTTTTGTTGTTTGGTATTTCTTTCATATGCATTTATCCCATTCCATGCTTTCTTTCCAGTCACTCAAAGGCTTGGTATGCTGGACAAGACAGCTGCAGAGAAAAAAAATAATTAAAAAAAGGGTAGGCAGGCAAAGCGCTTAACAATTCTCTAGGTCTAGTGAGTTTCTCATATTCCAAATGATTACAATAAACATTTTCAACTTTGATTCTGAGATGATTAACAGAAAAACAACGTTGAGGTTGTGGTGGTCACAATCAGATAAGAGATAAAGGCATTTTCAAAAGCATTTGACTGAATCAGCCAGAATCATGATAATGCACTTTCCTTTTCCAGTTTTCGGCAGCGGAGTTGTCAAGGCCGTTTCAAAAGACAACTTGTATCCGTTTAAGGCCAAAGTAACACTGTAGTTAATCTGTCAACAATTGATGAGCGTCCAAAACTAGCATACCGGTTCAATGACATTTTAACATTTGAGAAAGTACTTATTAGATTTGACCTTTTCCGAGTGACCCAAAATCCAACCGGATGCAGCACGACTGTGTTAAAAAGAGAACCAATGCGTGTGCGACTGTGCGTGTGTGCATGACCTCAGCTAGGAGTGGACATTTAGTTCTCAACTTGAAGAATGTAAGACTTCAATGTAACTGTTGCTTGTGTTTCCTTCCGTCCCATTGAATGGATGTCTCTGATCAGGTGAAAGGAAGAATCAAAAGCTCATGTAAACAACAAGACAATATTACACATCCCTGTAATTAAATTATTTACAATTGCGATCCAAAGCGTCTTATCATTTATAATAGGGGTGGGAACCTCAGGGTACATCACGATACGATACGATACGCGATACAAAGCTCACGATAACAATTATATCACGATATGACGATTATCGATATATTGGTCAGAAATATATCATATGCCAATTCATGGCTTAAATAAAAGAAAAATATTAAGTGAAAAAATACTTTATTTCATGATAAATGGAATGGAGATGCGTAATGTAGTGATATATTAAGTATTGATACTAATTGAAAAAAAAAAATTGATACTTGGAAAATGCATATCGATAATAGATCGCGGGAGAAAGTATCACGATATATCGTTATTTAGATATATCGTCACACTCCTAATTTATAATAAAAAGAAAACTGCTCAAAACATAAACCGATAAACTATAGCTATAAGACAAGACAAAGAGGTGGAAAACTCAAGTAACACTAGTTTTCACATGGTATCTGTCACATCTTTAGATCAGCTTTTTGAGACGGAAAAGTCTACCCTCATTCCTCTTAAAAGGCGTTTTTACATTGGCCCAGCTATGCACTGCTCAGTTTGCGTGTTTTCACACTCTCAAAGAGAGTAGTAGGGGACGCTGGGCCAGACTTAGGAGTAGGAGCAGAGCAGGCTTGGTTTGCAGACTGGAATGGCTAAATGAGATGTTAGAGGAAAGTCACATGACCTATACAGGCAGCACACTATGCTGAAGAAAATTTAATTTTTTTTAAAATTTTTAACACTCAAGTGAACTTACATACTCTACACTGGAAAACTGCAGCAGGCTATACACTATCATTTTATAAACATAAAATGATGAGAAACAAATGACAGTACAAGTGAAGACCCACACTTCGAGTCAGCAATTACAAATGTGTGTTGGATTACGGGACTCTGCAGACACAACAAAAGGGTTTATGTTTGTTCAATTGCACACATGTGTGTACAATCATGTAATTTTGCCCCTCACGTATTATGCCTAAAAGTTTATTGTTTGAACATGGTTACAGATAATATTGCTATATATCAATTATCATTAGTTTTAAAAGACATCACTGCTGCCTATACTCACATCTCCCATCATCAATATGTGTTGTTCAAGCACAGATGCCCCCTTCCCATAAAGACCAGCTCTATTCATTTGTGAATGCAAAATGTCTGGGCGGTGCACCCCCTTACTGAAACCGGCAGGCCTGGACTCACATGTGAAAAAGCATAAAACGTCAAATAGTGACTCACATGGCTATTTTCAAGTATGCAAAAGTTAACCTGTTTTAAACCTAGGTTTACATGAGACCACCATGAATAATTTAATGAAATAAGTAATATGTCAATAATTAGGTCACTAACAGTGTGGTTGATATGCCCCCTCCATGAAATGGAAATCTTAGATTTCCCATGCTTCCCATGCAGCGGGGGTAAAACAACAGAAGGACGTTCATTATTAAAGTTACGAAAGCATACGACATGCTAATCCTGCAATATTATCTTCCATTGAATTGTACACACCTAAAAATCACATACCCAAATAGGGTTGGGATAAAGGACTAAAACAACGCTACACATATATGAGAAATATACCTTCACAGACGTTAACAATAGAACCATTCATAATAATAATAAAAAAGTAGATTGCACTTGTAAAATCAATACTACTATCAAACCTTAATACCATCTCATTGTGGCTGTTATTGATCTAATAACAGCTATTATTAGATATTCATCTAAAATATATCTTCACAATTTAGAAAAGAAAAATACTAGTCGACTCCATCGTCTATAATAGCCCAGCAACCTGCAATACCAATTAATTATAACTAGTTTTCAGTCTGAAGAAAAATGTGATTCACAGCCCAATAGACATTCTTGGGTTTTGGGATACAGTATTCCTTGGTTTGATAAATTCATGGTATGACATGCTTTTTTCATTTCTTTTACTTTATTGAAAGGTGTTCTGTATTTTGCACATACTATAATAAACATTCTACAAAAAGGTAGAATAAATAAAAACAATGATGGATACAATTGGACACAAAACATTGAATGCATCATAGATATTCAACCACAGCAGCAAGACAAAGACAAGATTAGTGATCAAAATAAAAATCTAACTATTATGTTTGGCACAACGCAAATTATGTGATAATCACCAAGTACAAAACCGCAGGGTCAAACAAAACAGCATGCCTGTCGGATATTGTCTTGTAAACATTATTAGCATTAGCAAAGCAGAATAACAACAGTCTATATAGAAGGCCACGCAGTATTTTACCACATTATTGATCCATACAACCCAATGACGAAAGGGATGACTCATCACATCTAAAAAAATATACTCGCAAAATGTGGCAGCAAACTCAATGTGTTAAAGACTCCTCTCACTCCCACGCACGACAGAGAGGCCACTTGGAAAAAAACATAGCGATATTTTCAAGACTCACAAGGTTGATATTTTTACTGGGAATTACATATGGATACACGTAAATTACCTCTGTGGATGAGAGATGGTAAAGGTTGTGGTGCTTCTATGTCCAGTATCTTCGTTTTTAGGGTCTGGTTGTCTTCGAAAGCTCCCGTACGCACTGACTGACGTTACACCATTCCCATGAATCCCAAGAGGCGGGTCTTAACTGGAACTGGAGACATCGCTGGAGTTTTGATAGACAGTGAGCAGAGCCAATGAGAAGCAGCTTCATACGGGACAGGGCGTTGGTCACCGGGATGGACACGACTGGACTGCAAAAATACATTTGAGTCATCTACTGGCCTCAAGCAAACATTTCACTCTCACTAAAAGTGATTTCATGTACTTGATTTGAGTTTTGAGATTTTAGTGTGCTTTCATAATTCTTAAACAAACCGTGATTTGGATGAGCACGCTGATGCTTACATACATTCATTTCGATAAATGAATTATTTGAATGTGTGTGAATATCTGAAAATGATAATAATAATAATAATAATAATAATAATAATAATAATAATAATAATATATTTTGTTGTTACATATGCGAAGCACATCTCAAGGTGCTACAGCAAGTTAAAACATAATCAAAACATCAGAATAAAATTCATACAGACAAAATAAGGCGGCACGGTGGCTGAGTGGATAGCACTCTCAGCAAGAAGGTCCTGGGTTCGAATCCCGGTCGGACCAGGGCCTTTCTGAGTGGAGTTTGCATGTTCTCCCTGTGTCTGCGTAGGTTTCCTCCGGGTACTCCGGTTTCCCCTACCACTAAAAATATGTCCAATAGTTCTGGCATGCGCCTCCTGTACTGGCGACCCCGCTCCCATCTCTGTGAGGAGTGAGAGACAAATGCCCAAAATTAACAATTGTAAACCGCTTTGAGACTCAGATCTGCAGTGAAAAGGCGGTATATAAATAAGAAGAAAAAAAAATTAAAAAATTAAAAAAATGCATTAAAAGACAAGGGCTGCAGATCAACATTAGACATTCCTGATAATAACAATAACAATATTGATGTTATCCTCACTTTCAATCAGTCCTTACTGTACCATTCCGACATTTCTGGTACATTTTTGTAATACAAATACATTTTTTGTAGGGCTTAAAACAATGAATAAATGCACTACACCTGAAGCGACATGAAGAAATGTCATTTTTATATCTCTTTCAATCATTAATCACGATATATTTCAAACAGCTCTCTTATGTGTATATCATATTAGAACCATGAACCTGGAATACATTATTTCTATGGCGCCAACTATCATCCCAGACGCGAGATGGCGCAAGACCTAGTTGACGCAAAACTAAACAGCGGCAGTTTCGGTTTGTAGGGCGCGTACTGTAAACAAACCAAACACACAACGGACTTTTCAGATTTACTGCACACCACGAGAAGCTTGGAGCCTTTTGTGAGGATGCAGAGGTATGTTTAATACTATTCTAAGGTCATTTAGCCAATGACCTCCTTCACTTGTCAAATGTTTTCTTTTGCTAGTTAGCTTGATGCGCTACACACTCCACATATCAAGGAGTATGGGCTGTGCATCCTCAACAACAGGTCCAGAGAAACCAGCTGTCCGAAATGTATACATAAGCCATGTTTTATCCGTTTTAAAGTACATAATGTGGATCTTACTCTGCACTGTCGATGTGTAACGAGTTTACGTGCACAGGGTACTATTGCATTGCAACAACTTTGTTGTAAGTAATGTGTACTGCCTTTCTGTGAATTTGAGTTCTTTTAAATATACAGAATTTCCTATTCCTATACTCTGTGAGTGCTCCATTTGCAGATATTATGACCTGCTGCAGGGAAAAAGAAATACATCTGAAATAATTGATATAATCCTACACAAATGTAACAGCCAATTTAGATGGCGTCTTATATTTTATCATAAATATTTTTCTCTGTTTCTTAGGTCAAAAATAGTTCATGAAGGCGCCCAGATTCGACGAAGAGGAGCCCATGATTTCCTTGCTTACTATGACTTCCTCTGTGCAAGACAAGACTCAGTTCCTCTTCCTGCAGTCACCATGAATCTTGACAAAGGGATTTTGGACTTCAATGGAGACCGGATTAAACATCCAGACTGGCCACCAATTCTTGACTCCATTGCAATTAATAAACAATTGCATCATGTTGCGATAAGCAGTACTTATCAAAGTTTGGGCCTTGGAGATGGAGGTAATTTACTTTTCTTGTAATATAAGAGTCAAATTAATCTTGTTGGTGTCAAAAGGAGATGACACAGAGCCCATTCTCATGGGGTCTGTTCACATTAATTAAAGAAAATGTCAAATGTAGTTATAAAATACCTGTGCTGTAATGGACGAAAATAGTTTGGGTCCCACTGGTATATTATTATATAATTACTGGTTTATAATCTTCATTAAATATTATCCATAGATAGAAGATACTTCAGAACCAGTATGAAGAAAAAGATTCCCACCATTCGCTCAAAGGACATGACCTTTAAGTTGTCCAAAGCCGTAAGAGACACACTCACTGTTTCTCCCAACCTGAAAACTCTGCAGCTTAATGGATTACCCCTGAGGGAACGAGATCTTATTGTGTTGACAAAGGTAATTTAAAATAGGCACAATATACACAAATATACATATTCTATATGCATTTTTGGTTAAATGTTTGCAATTATTCCTGATTTCATTCTTCTGTTTCTAGGGATTAGCAAAAAGTGTGTCACTTGAGAACCTTTCTCTGGCCAACTGCCCCATTTCTGATGAAGGACTTGAGAGTATGTGCAATTATTATTATTGTAGCTATTGTGTTGTTGAGTGGTTTTCTTACCATATGGAGATGTACCTATTTTATAGTAATCTGTCAAAGTGTCAAGTATTCTACAAGTATCAGAACAGTGGATTTCACTGGATGCAATCTGACGTGGAGAGGTGCAGAGCACATGGCTAACATCATCAAGGTATTGATTGTGGTATCTGTTTTTCTTTTTAAATTTGCAAATTGATATAACTTTGATCTATTTAAGGTTGTAAGTAGTCTTTGTTTTCAGCACCAGGGCATGCAGAGGCACGGAACTGCATGGGCAGAGTCTCTCAGATATCGTCAGCCACATTTTGAGAGGATGACGGGCTTGAGGCGTGTAACTCTGAACTGTAATTCGCTGATTGGAGACAGAGGAGCTGCTGCCCTCGCAAATGAATTAGCAGAGGATCTCTGGGTTAAAGGTTTGTAGAGTACATTATATGAAGCTGGTTGGTCATAGCTCATTAGTAGGGGTGTGACGCGATTCGATTATCAATATGCATTTGCCAAGTATCGATATCAATTTTTAAAATATAAAAAGATATGTATTTTTCTTTTTTTCAAATGTATTTTTTCTGTTTTTGTTTTTTTTAAATTAGTATCAATACTTGATATATGGCTACATTACACATCTCCATTCCATTTATCATGAAACAAAGTGTATTTTTTCACTTAACATTTTTCTTTTATTTATGCCATAAATTGACATATGTTATATTTCTGACCAATATATATCGATAATCGTCAGATCATGATATAATCGTTATCGTGATATTATCGTTATCGTGATATTATAGTTATCGTGACATTATCGTCATTGTGAGCTTTGTATCGTATCGTATCGTGAGGTACCCTTAGGTTCCCACCCCTACTCATTAGTGACAGTGGCAAGTTTGAGCTTCAGGAGAATTACCTGCACCGTTGATGAGAAAATGTAATCATAAGAGCCACCAAGCCCAATAATGTTTTTGTATACATTTCTTTCAGAATATTGCTCATTAGGATCTATTTTTGTCCATTTAGTACATTTAACATGAGAAGTTTTATTATTTTATATTAGGCTAATGCAATCTATTTAATGCAAGTTTATATCAGTAGTCTCCATAGTTATAGATGGGTTATTATTTCAGACTTGTTGTCCATAGCCAAGCAGACAACAATAAATCCATCAGTCTTTATTTGTAGAGCGCTTTTCCTACAGGGTAACAAAAAATGCTTCACACAAGCACAAGCATCACACAAGGCACAAATCATCAACACAGGGAATAAAAAACATTTAAACATTAAAATCACACAAGGTATTAAATAATAAATAAATAAAAACACCACAGTGCATTAAAAAGAGTAGATTTAGATCCTTCAGTTGAATGCACGGGCAAACAGAACCGTCTTTAACCTGGATTTGACGCCTGTCTCACATTTTCAGGGAGACTGATTTTAGCTGTATAAATCTGAAATGCTGCCTTCCCATGTTTAGTGCTGACTCTGGGTACCAGGAGGCCAGTCCCTGCACTCAGAGTCTGAGCCGGTTCTTAAAGCACCAACATGGTACGGGTGTACAACAGACAAAACAACCAAAGTCTCCTATAATGTCTCCCTGCTCTCCACAAAACAAGACAGAGCAAAGAAGCTTTTCCTCACACAATTTTGAACATAAAAATATGATCTTCCATGGTAATTTCTATAATTACCCTTTCAATTAGCTGATCTCTTTGGAAGTTACTTAGTTGAGTAAATGTTTTCTTTCTACTTTTTCAGCTGTAGATCTGCAAAGATGTGGCCTTTCTAACGAGGGCGCTCGGCGATTACTGGAAACTTTGAAGACTAACTCCACATTATCTGTTCTGGACGTTCGTAGTAATCCTTTAATAGGTCAGTTCTCACCAAAATCATAGATAGTCTAGTAAAGATCAATTTTCTACCAGACATTATAATTGGAATTGTTTTTTTATAGACAAAGTTCTTATTAAAACAATTTTGGAGAAGGTGCTTATGAATGCTGACGGAGAGTCTCCAGAGGTAATTTTCCTTCCGCTATTTTCAACATATGTAGTTCATTTTAAACATTCTGTGTTTCATATCCAGTTTGTCTGGATCAAACCAACTGTCACTGAGTCTCAAAGAACAGCAGGATTTAAAAGACGAGCCCTGCCTTCTTCATCTAGAGGAAAATCACTGTCAAGAAATGGTGTGTAACTGTAATCTTCACCTAGTCACCTAAACAAAAAGAAATCTGAAATAATAGTGGTATTTATTGTATTAGAAAAGGGTATTTAAAAATAACTATTTTATGATGTGCAGCTGTGCGTAAAACAAACTCCTCAGTGATTGGCGGTTCCAGAGTTCTACACCAAAAGTCATGTTCACAGTTGCGTTATTTCCCATGGAGAACTGCGGCGCGGGCTGGACGTCAGAGGTCGGTTCAAAACATTTACTGAATCAATAGTTCTGAACAAGAGTGACATTATTGTTTGTCATGTCCACATTTATTATTCTCTTGCAGAGGTCTCCCTCCTGGAGCCACAGTGGTTGATCAAAGTTTTCAGGTTGGTTTTGAACAACCATTCATTTGTTTTATATGAAGCAAAAAATCAACGATACAACATTTATATTGATAAACCAGAACCTGAAGATTTTTAACAAGCTAATATGCTTTTTTGTGTGTTCCCTAAATATTTAGCTAAATAACTTCCCTGTTGTTTTGATGTATTCTGTTTTTGTCAGGGAGCTGCCAGTGTAAAAATCATTGTAGACAGTGATTCAGAGGAAGACGACGGTGAAGAGCCTGACATCGTGGTAGAGGCAGAGCAGAAGCCGTCATCACCAGCTGCTCAAGACGAGATCACGGAGCGACAGTTTAGACGTTTGCAGGTCAGGTCTTTGAAGCTGGGGTACTTTACACACCTCATAAATAAGGCCTTTTTGTTTTTCCCAAAAAATCAGAAAACAAAATTCTGTTTTTATCTTATTAGAAAGTTGTTTCTTTTGCATATGTGTATGAAAGCTCTCTTGGCTAAGTTAGGATGGTCCTCTTTTATCAATTTTCTTTCTGGAAAAAAAAGATGTGACAGAGGCCAATTAGTTTGATGGATTACATGTTTTGTTGTGGTTTGAAAAGTTGGTAACCCCTGCTGCACTCATTCAGTGGATAATGCAGTTCTGCTGTTAACCTGCAGATGGAGCTGAAAGAATGTCGTTTGATGCTGGCAGAGGAGCGCAGGGCCAGACTCCGATCAGAGACCAGACTCAAGGAGGTTGGCCATGCAAGAATCTCATAGCTTCCTTCAATGTTTGAACTTCTACATGGTATTTTACACTTTACTGCAAACCCCAATGGTGGTTGTAAGACAAAAACTCTTATAGATGTTCAATTTCTCAAGTAATCAAAGTCGTATTGTTGCTTATAAACAGTATAGTTTTATGTTAATACAATTTTCCCCCATTTACTTGTGATCAACTGTGGGTCAAGGTCATAGGTGGGGCTGGTGTCAATTAATCACAACTAACCAATGATTTTAATAGTTTTCTACTAATTTAAGTAATGGATTTTTGAAGACACAGAAATAAGTGTGCTGTAAAGATTAAGTTTTATGTCTCCTAAAAGCTGTAATTACTGCAGACTAAAATGAAAATGCGTAAACCCATATATTAAATTATTATATTATTCGAATCGCATAATTGTATTTCTTTATTTTATTTTTCTAAATCTTCAATAATCTAAAAATCCTATAAGCACAGGCCTTTTGGGATCCAAACAACTAATCGATTAATTGAATGACTATTCAGCCAACTAATCAATTGTCAAAATAATTGATAAAAACAACCCTTGTCATAGGTTAGAATCGTCCTGCAGATTAGGCCTTTTAGTGTCGTTTGCATGTTCTGTCTGTGTCTTTGTGTGGGAGAGGAGGGCATTTGAAAAGGAGCCTTTTCCCCCCCTGAAGTATCACTTTATCACTTGCAGGTTTTAATGATCATATACGCTTTATTATTGGCCTTGGATTCAGTAATATAGTGGTTCTCAAACTGGGGGATCGGTCCTTTAATTATTTTTTTTTTTTTTACAATATAATACTAAAATAATGTAAAATCTTGTATAATTTCAGTTTGAGCTGGAAAACGCACGACTCCGCACAGCTAACCTCTCTCTTACTGAGACCCTCGCCAACTCTTCCTCCGCTCCTGCTGCTTTCAGTGCCCTTGAAGACGAGGCAGTCCTGGAGAGTATCGAAAACTCATTTAAAAAGTTCCATGCCTTTTTGGACCTCCTCAAGGATGCCGGGTAAGTGCCGCTGTTTGATTTAAAATAATCACGTTCATTTGATACACTGAAGCTGGCCTGAATAACAAAATGGCCCGAGCTTTCTGTTTCACTATTTTGTGGCGCCTGGTCGGAAAGAATGTAGAGGTGCCAAGTGAGAAGTTTCATTATTACTGATGTGTTGATATAATATATGTTTTGCTTTCGATGCTGCAGTCTTCTCAACCTTCTGCCACTTTCAGAGAAACCACAAGATCCTCTCTTCTCTGTATGCTAGATGATTTTTATCTATGGTAATGCAAAGTGTAACATTAATCTGTTCAGTAAATAAGGATGAAGGTGCATGTATTTTTTGGCCCCTGTCACATCTTTAGATCAAACAGAAAAGTGAATAAGAGATTAACAACTTCTGCTCTAAATAGTGACTTACAGGGCTCTTTCCTACATGTATGCAAAAGATAGAATACTGTTGCAAAAGATAAAATGTTTATTAAGACAAAGGCAGCAAGTTGTGGACTGTTATGTGCAAATTTGCTTTTACAAGGCAATTTCTGCTGATACAAACAAAATGCTTTTACAAAAACCTGTCTCACATTTGTCGTTTGTCTTGTAATTAGTCCTCGTACGAAGTAAAACCATCAAAGCATACTTTCTCAAAAATGCACTTCAATGTGGCTGCGCATGTGTTAAAGGTGTGACTACAAGTACTCTATATCTTGTTCTAGTATGTTTTAGTGGATATTATTTTTTATTTTTTTACTTTAGCACCCAATGTTTTCTCCCTTGGTAAAAGACACACTGGTCTCAATTCTGTGACTTCTGTGCAAATGTAATGCATAAATAACACAAATTATTTTAAATCACTGATGCACTGGTCATAGACTTGTGATACTCTAAGCAGATATTTACATTTCTCTTTTTTAAGCCTAGACCAACTAGTATCAATGGCTGGACTTGAAAAATCGGATTTTCAGCCTCTTGGAAAACCACAGCTCTCCTCAACTCTTGGACCACCTTTGGCCGCTACCCTGTCACGGAACCAACACGTGAACACGTTTGGAGACCTGCGAACAGAAACCAGTCTCTCAGCCAAGGTATTGTGCACCCAAAGATTCATACATGGTTTTTGTTTTACATTGATATTGTTTGGACAATATTCAATTCAATATAATATTGAAACCATGTTGAGCTGCTGGTGCAATAACATTAAAGCAGAAAAATCCTATCAAGCTTTTTTTATTTGTCTTTACTTCTTGTCTATATGACTTTTAATGATAAATATTCAACCCCAAAATATTTTGTTCCGTCCATTATTATGAAACAATACATGGATTATCATGACAGGCTCAGGTCCATGTATAGACATGGTTTTATTGATTGCTATTCCATCTTTAGAGGAGCACTACATGATGCTACAGCCTCAACACCTTCTCACTTGTAGTTCTACATCTTTACAGTAAATCGAGAAAGCCTTGTGACTTGTTAGAAGAGCACTGACTTCTGTGAAATGCCCAAACAAATATTGTCCGAGAAATGAGCCCCCTCCTATCTTGTGACTTGTACACTTTCTGTTTCAGTATGAGGGTCTCATTATGGCTGTTCTATTTTGAATCAAGCTTGTTGTTTTGATTTCTGTTTTAAAATGAGTCTTCATTTCGATTTCAGTTTTTAAATGAGTATTACACTGTTTGGATTTGAGTTTTAAAGCATATCACATTGGAAATACAGTGCCTTGCGAAAGTATTCGGCCCCCTTGAACCTTTCAACATTTCGCCACATTTCAGGCTTCAAAAGATATAAAATTTAAATTTTTTGTCAAGAATCAACAAGTGGTACACAATCGTGAAGTGGAACAAAATTTATTGGATAATTTAAACTTTTTTAACAAATAAAAAACCCAAAAGTGGGGCGTGCAATATTATTCGGCCCCCTTGCGCTAATACTTTGTAGCGCCACCTTTTGCTGCAATTACAGCTGCAAGTCGCTTGGGGTATGTCTCTATCAGTTTTGCACATCGAGAGACTGGAATTCTTGCCCATTCTTCCTTGCAAAACAGCTCAAGCTCAGTGAGGTTGGATGGAGAGCGTTTGTGAACAGCAGTCTTCAGCTCTTTCCACAGACTCTCGATTCAGGTCTGGACTTTGACTTGGCCATTCTAACACCTGGATACGTCTATTTGTGAACCATTCCGTTGTAGATTTGGCTTTATGTTTTGGATCATTGTCCTGTTGGAAGATAAATCTCCGTCCCAGTCTCAGGTCTTTGTCAGACTCCAACAGGTTTTCTTCCAGAATGGTCCTGTATTTGGCTCCATCCATCTTCCCATCAATTTTAGCCATCTTCCCTGTCCCTGCTGAAGAAAAGCAGGCCCAAACCATGATGCTGCCACCACCATGTTTGACAGTGGGGATGGTGTGTTCAGGGTGATGAGCTGTGTTGCTTTTACGCCAAACATATCGTTTTGCATTGTGGCCAAAAAGTTCGATTTTGGTTTCATCTGACCAGAGCATGTTTGGTGTGTCTCCCAGGTGGCTTGTGGCAAACTTTAAACGAGACTTTTTATGGATATCTTTGAGAAATGGCATTCTTCTTGCCACTCTTCCATAAAGGCCAGATTTGTGCAGTGCACGACTGATTGTTGTCCTATGGACAGACTCTCCCACCTCAGCTGTAGTTATCTGCAGTTCATCCAGAGTGATCATGGGCCTCTTGGCTGCATCTCTGATCAGTCTTCTCCTTGTTTGAGATGAAAGTTTGGAGGGACGGCCGGGTCTTGGTAGATTTGCAGTGGTCTGATACTCCTTCCATTTCAATATAATTGCTTGCACAGTGCTCCTTGAGATGTTTAAAGCTTGGGAAATCTTTTTGTATCCAAATCCGGCTTTAAATTTCTCCACAACAGTATCTCGGACCTGCCTGGTGTGTTTGTCTTCATGGTTCTCTCTGCGCTTTAAACAGAACCCTGAGACTATCAAAGAGCAGGTGCATTTATACGGAGACTTGATTACACACAGGTGCATTCTATTTATCATCATCAGTCATTTAGGACAACATTGGATCATTCAAAGATCCTCACTGAACTTCTGGAGTGAGTTTGCTGCACTGAAAGTAAAGGGGCCGAATAATATTGCACGCCCCACTTTTCAGTTTTTTGTTTGTTAAAAAAGTTTAAATTATCCAATAAATTTCGTTCCACTTCACGATTGTGTCCCACTTGTTGTTGATTCATGACAAAAATGTGTTTATGTTTGAAGCCTGAAATGTGGCAAAATGTTGAAAGGTTCAAGGGGGGCAAATACTTTCGCAAGGCACTGTATGTCTCTAAATTATATTTTTTAGCTTTTGAATAGAATGTTTTGCAATCCTTCAAAAATATGTCAAATAGGAAGATGCCCTGGTTGAGGTTCATGTCATTGATCTGCATTATCAATGATTGTAGGTCCTGTCTCCTCCACCCATCACCCCAGCTGTCGTCATGCCAACCCAGTCATCCTCATCATCAGCGTCCTCCTGTCATGGAGACAATTTGCTGGACGTGACATTTACACAAACTGCAAAATCTCCTCAAGTACCTGAAGTGGAGGGAGAACCAACCGTAGACCAGCAATCAAAACCCATTCAAAAATATGCACGTGGCTGTATGAAAACACACCACAGTCAACGAAGCCACTCCCCACACAGTCATTCCACCCATAGCAACGGCTCTCAGGCGTACAGTGATGCTTCCCACCGCAGCAGTCGATTGTGCTCCAAGTCCAGTGTCAGGGAGGTCATCAGTGATAAAGTGGACTCTGACAGGTCATTGACGAGCCCTGGGAGCGGCCGAGACGACATCATGAATCGGATCACTTCTCTGCGAGGATTGGGGACTCAGTCTTTCAGTACACTTTTCTGATGAGATTCTTTGATCCACAAAGACTTTTATTGTTATGATTTTCTAAAAATTTAATTTAAAGACCATTTTGTTGTATCCATGCAAATTCAACATACAGTAGAACAGAGCTGCAGCAAACAAATGATCAGATCAAAGGTGGCAATGTTTGGATTTTCAAAATGTTGCTTCTAAATGTGAACAATCTTGCTTTCACTGAAACTCACGAGTGATTCCCTTTTCAGCACTCTGAAGGGAGCGCTTTTAACTGAAAAGGAGTGAAAAGCACTCCTGAAAGCTAGCGTTTTCAAGGAGTGCTTTCCCTGCAAGCACCCCCCATGGTCAGCACTTTGAAGTAGTGCTGATCATGAGGAGTCATCAAAGTTGCAGAAAGCCATTTATTAATTTGTTTTTATTACAAAATAATTAATTCATATATAAACTTCATAAGGTATGTTTTTGTGTTCTATTTTTCCCATTTAGTAGTGGGTAGTTCCCATAAGTAGTTGCTGTTTCACTGAACACTGTTACATTAACAGTTTTACTGTAATATTGTACAGATTAGAATGATGATGATAGGGAATGATGTTTTTGGAGGCCAAATTATTTCAGACGTCATGAATGTGCTGCAGTTATGAAGTAGTCCAGCTGACCTAGAACCATTTATCCGAGACATTGTGTGGCTTGTGTCCGTGCAGAAAATAGTGCCTTGCAAAAGTATTTTGTGTGTTTTGTTGCCTCACAACCTGGAATTAACATGGATTGTTTGAGGATTTGCATCAGTTAATTTCCAGAACATGCCCACAACTTTGAAGATGTTGTCTTTTTTATTGTGAAGCAAACAACAAATAGGACAAAATAACAAAAAAGGTCAATGCAAAGGAAGGTTTCTCACCCATCATCTGTACTTCTTAGCAGGTTTTCCCGACGTTTCGTCCTCAATCCGAAGGACATCTTCAGGTAATGAATTCTCAGACCACCCTAATCCTGATACTAACTCATAAACAATCTAAGGTCTGTTTGATGTAGAAGGGAGCAGGTCTAACAACCCTGCTGAGGCTAACGACCCTAACTCCTTAGCATGTCACAGACCTATTGTCTGCTAAGTGGAGTGCAGGTCTCACCCCTCCTAACTCATTAGCATGTCACTGATCTTGTCCCAAGTTAGGGCGTTGTTTTTAGGATGTCGTCATAGATGCGAGGCAAAACAAATCTTAACCCTCCTCCTCTGTTAAGAGAAGGTTTTTGTTTCCTCACAAAAATGGCTTCTTTCACTCCTCTCTCAAACCAATTCTTCTCCCGAGCCAGAAATTTAACCTCTTGTGTCATCCACCGTGTGGTTGGAGGCCTTGATGTGGAGATGAACAGCCGACTGTGGCCCACTAGATTTTTCTCTACGATGTTGGTAAAGTCGTTTCTGTAGAGTTTGTTTGGTTTCTCCAATATAGTGGTCAGTGCACTCCTCTTCACTACATTTAATTGAATACACCACATTGCTCTGTTTGTGTCTGGATGTTTTGTCTTTAGGATGCACTAATTTCTGACTTAACGTGTTGAAAGGTTTGAAATACACAGGGATTTTTTGTTGCCTAAAGATTCTTTGTAGTTTCTCTGAAACTCCCGCCACATACGGTAAGGACAACCCTCTCCTCCTACTTTCTTCTGTCTGTTGGACTGTGTCTCTGGCCTTTCTCGTCCTTTGGGCTTTAGTAAAAGACCACTTGGGGTCAGTGACATGCTAATGAGTTAGGAGGGGTGAGACCTGCACTCCACTTTAGCATCCCAGCAGACAATAGGTCTGTGACATGCTAAGGAGTTAGGGTCGTTAGCCTCAGCAGGGTCGTTAGGCCTGCTCGCTTCTACATCAAACTGACCTTAGATTGTTTATGAGTTAGTATCAGGATTAGGAGATAGGTTATAAATCTCCAACTCGCGGTCTGAGAATTCATTCCCTGCAGAAGCCCGCTGGATTGAGGACGAAACGTCGGGAAAACCTGCTAAGTACAGATGATGGGTGAGAAACCTTCCTTTGCTTTGACTAATCCCTGTACGACTGAGGGCTTACACAAAAAAGGTCAACTATTCACCCCCCTAAAGTCAATACTTTGCAGAGCCACCTTTTGCGGCAATCACAGCTCCAAGTCGCTTTGGATAAGTTTCTATGAGCTTGCCCCATCTTACCACTGGGATGTTTGCCCATTCCTCATTGCAAAACTGCTCCAGCTCCTTCAAGTTGGATGGTTTGCGCTTCTGAACAGCAATCTTTAAGTCTGACCACAGATTTTCTATTGGATTGAGGTCTGGGCTTTGACTAGGCCATTCCAACACATTTACATGTTTCCCCTTAAACCACTGAAGTGTTGCTTTAGCAGTGTTTACAGGTTTTGCTCAAGAATATCCCTGTATTTAGCACCATCCATCTTTCCCTCAACTCTGACTAGTTTCCCAGTCCCGGCGGCTGAAAAACATCTCTGCTGTGGAAGTCTGCATCTCCTCCAGGGTTACCTTAGGTCTCTCTGATTAATGCCCTCCTTGCCCGGTCCATGAGTTTTGGTGGGCGGCCGTCTCTTGGCAGGTTTGCTGTTGTGCCATGTTCTTTCCATTTGGTTATGATAGATTTGATGGTGCTCCTGGGGATCATCAAAGATTTGGATATTTTTTTATAACCTAACCCTGACTTGTACTTCTCAACAACACTGTCCCTTACCTGTTTGGAGAGTTCCTTGGTCTTCATGGCAGTGTTTGGTGGTGCCTCTTGCTTAGGTGTTGCAGCCTCTGAGGTCTTTCAAAAAAGGTGTGTATATGTACTGACAGATCATGTGACACTTAGATTGCACACAAGTGGACATAATTTCACTACGTATGTGACTTCTGAAGGTAATTGGTTGCACCAGAGCTTTTTACAACAAAGTTATGTATGTTGTGTATGCACATGCCAATTTCCAGTTTTTTATCTTTGAAAAATAGTTGCATGTATATATTTTTCTCAATTCACTCCATTCCAACTTTGACTATTGTTTTCTGATCCATCACATGAAATTCAGATTTAAAAAAAAAACATTGAACTAAAGGCTGTAATGTAACAAAATAGGTAAAAATACTTTTGCTAGGCACTGTATGTTCCAAACAACTGTGTAGGCCAACTGGTTTGCCAAAGACAACCAAACAGACACACCCGTTTTAACTTTTAGTTCAAGATGGTTCTGGCAAGCTTTACTGTCCAAAGGGTTGCTTGTCATTTATTATTGAAAAAATTATTTATTACTGAAAGGTTTTATGGTGCTTTGAAGGATTTTATGAAACAAAAATATTTGTATTTATTTAATTTAATCGTTGGAAATGGTCCCCAATCACACTGATATGTACCTACATGGCAGATGATCATCATTAAAAGAAAAATCTTTGCAAGAATCTTGCTGAACTTTTCAAAATGAGTCATTGCCTTTCTGTTTCCCTCTGATCTCCACTTGCTTAGATGCTTAAAGTGTAAGAATGAAACTAAATCTGAGTCTAAATTTAGAAAGAATGAACATACCCACCATTTTTACCTCTTGCATTCACTCAGCAAAGGCTGCAGATAAATAATCTGCCAACATGAAGAAGGCATTTCACATCTTGTCTGAGCACGTCATTGTGAGTCTGCAAAGACACTCCACCCACAGTCCATGCACAACATATGGGGCTGCTAACCCCATGTTTGAAGAAACTACTTATATTACATATTCAGAACACTGATTTTGATTTACTGTTAATTGAATACAGTTTGCAAAACATGACAAGCTTTCAATGAGCATGATATACAGTAGTGCACATGATGTAATAGAGCAGCACTGTCACTTATGGATAATATTCAATTTCTTTATGAACCGTGTGATTTATGTTGTGTATTTTTACATTCAACTTTTTTTTTTCTTTCAAGGCAAAACAAAAAAATTCAAATATTTCACCATGGGGAAAATAATTTGTTATAGTTATTATATGAGACAAGGCACATTTATTTGTAGGTACATTTCAGACACTGCGCTATTTTATTTCTATAATTAGGCCGAGCCAATACGTAGTATTGGGGAGGCCTATTGTTATTCGGTGGTTTCATATTATTCTTTTTCCGCCGAAACAATTAGATTTTTGACCCGGAAGACATGCACGAAAGTCTGCACATGGGGGGTCTAAAACGACCGGTTCGGCGAAACATTTGATAAAACGGACGTTTCGAGATTGTCCGACAAAAGGCGAATCAATAGCGCCCCCTTGAAAATTCAAAATTTGCCATTTCTATTGGAGGCAGGATGGCATATTTTGGAGTAGGTACACGAAATTCGGATGAGTGATAGATCTCTATGAGACGAGCATAAAAGCCGGTCTAAGCACATGTCTGGGACCAACAGGAAGTTGGCCATGATGGGCTGAAGTTTCGCCGCCAATTTGACTTTTCATTTATAATTTCGAACTAGTCCCTGGTTTTTCATCACACAGAGTTCTACCACGTCATTTCCTAATCTGGATGGTTTGAAGTTATACAATCATCAAAAAAAGTTAGAAAATCTTCACCGTTTTCGTCCCTCGCCATGGCGAATAAGGCCTTCGTTTTGGCCATTTTTGCTGAGCCCTGAGGGCCACAGGCTCAGACCTACAGAGCTGAGACTCACATCAGTAATATTAGGTTATGGCCTGAACGCAATGACACTAAAATCATTCGCCCAATTCGAGCTCTTTAGCGCCACCTGTCGGAAAGTAATAGGGCACTAGAGCACGGATCAGCCCGAAAATCGCTGAGTGTATTCTTTGGACCGAGACGAGCAACACATTACATTACGCAAAAGTTGTAAGTCCTACACCTGACCACTGGGGGCGCCAGAAATTGAATTAATGAGCTTTTTGGGGCAAAATGTTTGTCCGATGAGGCTAAAAAGGAATTCAGAAATACAGCGTATGACCCTGAACACAACGATATGCAACACACAACTGTGAGTGCAACAGCGCCACCTACAGGCAGTTCAAGGTGTCGCATTTTTGGCTTCGTA